AACTTATCTTTCTTTTCAATCAAATGGACATGTAAAATAACGGCGTGACTTTCGTAAACAGATTTGGGGAGAAGGTTACACGCAAGCCGATAACCCCGTTCGTGTCCCAAAACAAAATCCTACGTGGCTCTTTTTTTATCGTTTTTTTTTTATTTTATTTTATTATTACTATCGGTCAATACTGATTACGAAATTATATAATATAATGTACGTTCGAAACATGACACACTTACTATAACCGTTAGTGTGTCTCAATCATCACTCCAATTATATTAAACAAGTGTACACATTTATTGTCATTGACGACCACACACCAAAAGAATTTTTACTACACATGAATCAATTCAGCGAATCAACCTACACGGTCTGTGAAAGGACTCTCACAAATGTATCAACTGATGTATCCAAGTGTTTATAATTTTGACTAATCTCGAAGTGCATTTTATAACAATTTCTATAAAGGTTATTTTAAGTTGATTAATGGAAGAAATAAATTAACAATGGTTTTAACATTGTATGCCGTATGAATATTTTCTTATGTGTTGTGCACCAACTTACACGGAATCTCTTAACTTTTTAGTAGACTTTCCAACTCAATAGATGCTCGAGTTAATTATAAGTTAAAAGCTCAAGTGGCAAATTTAGAACATCTCAGAAGCGTTGCAGTGTTATCGGCGATCATTTTGGCATTTTCAACAAATGCCGGGGCACGAATAAATGATGCGCCTTCGCCCTGACATTTTATATTAATTTGGTCACCTAATGGATTGAGTGAAATAACTGTGCGTCATTGGAAATTGCTTGTTCCCATTGTGCACACAGTAGTTTTATATTCGATGGGCTTTTTGTGGTTTTCGCCTTTACCTTTTCCAGCGACCCTTTATGACAAAACGTCTATTAGTGTTTAGAAAACGTATTTTTTGATAAATTCAATTTTGACATACTTCGAAGGATTGCCGACATAATCAAAAACACATTCTTATTCTATCAAACTCGTGAAAATCAAATTATAAAATACACAAAACTCTCTCTACAGCTTGTAAAATCCCTTCACGTTTTTAATGTATCGTGTGGATGGGTTTTAGGTTCTTCATAATATTATTTCTGTGTAGATTTTGGAATCTCGTCACTTTTTTCCGCCTCAACTAAAACATTTTTTTTTTATTAAATGTAAGACCACTGTATTTTTTGTTCGTTAAAATCTTTTCGTCAGCGTTGACAATAGATATAAAAAAATGTTTGTTTTTAAAAAATCAATTAGCTAAAAAAAAAAAAATTGCTAACTTATGTAATAACTCTGGTGCACGAGACTATTATTACTGAGAGCTTATATCTATAGATATTGTCGTAAAACTTTTTTCATGAAATCATTCAGCTATAAAATAATTTAAAAACTATTTGATTTTCTTCTTACTAATTCACATACTAACTACATCATTAATTATTATTATTGCGTTATTAAACGTAAGCGCACAAGGTGAAAAATGTCAGCCGTAATTTTGTAAACAATTTTAAGTAGTTCAAAATATGTGCATCGAATCCTTCAACCTTTTTAGTATTAGTCAGCTGGCGATGGTACCGTTAAATAGCCTTACTAGTAATATGTATATTAACAACGGCTGTTAGGCAATTAGAAAGGGAAATTTCGCATTTCTTTCTTTCGACATATTACAGAGTTTCGCATAATATTTACGCTCAATCGTCGTCGTCGTGGCCGCCATAGTTAGCACATTCTCTCTTAATATAATAAATATTACTTCACTGATCGTGTAGTTTAACGTTCATTCAACACTCTCACTCTCAATGACATTGCAGTGTAGGTTTACACTTAAAAACTAAGTCCTTTTCGGGCACAACGATACACCACAGGTCCCAAACATGTCCTCACAGCTATTATGTCTTACTCATGCATTCGGCCTGGTGGCTATTTCATTTGAATCCTATAATTCAGGTTATTAACGCAGGACATCAAACAATATTTTTAATTCTACAACTTTCTCAGCTTTAAATCGGTTTTTGTTGACTATAGAAAATTATCCATCCAAATATGTCGTCACTTAATTTTAACTAAGGTAAAATTATAATTAAATAAATGCGAGGATCATATGGCACCATTTGTTTGTTAAGTTTACACCATTTAAATATTCTGATACAAAGATTAATGATTTAATTATCGAGAGTGATTCAAGACGAAAAAGATGCTTACATATTAAATCATTGTTGGAATTTATTTCATTGCTGATATGACCATATATTGAATATTTATATTTTAATATTGAGGTGAACATTAGTAAAACGATTAAAAAATATGATTCACTTTCATGCTTTTACTAAGCACTCGAGAGAACTTCATTTAATGCGTTGCCTGGGTGGATGTGATTTGGTTAAAAATTAGCGAATCTCAAGACTAATCATCATCTTGCACACAATACCGTTTTTGTATGATAATGTATATGCGGTTCGTAACACGAGCAATGTGAAAGTTCATGGAATAGGACGGCAGCGCGGTCGTCGTATATACATTACATAATTGTGTTACGGTGGCCCGAGGGGACTCGATTGCCTTTCAACCTTTCTTCTTTCTTCATATTGCCATTATTATTATTATCCCATAACGATGGCGGCACTCGTATGTCATTTATTCCCCTTTCCTAGACGCGGAGGAGCATCAATAATAAATCAAATGAAAACTACACAATCTAAGGCATTTAATGCCCAACCATATTATCATACGGCAACAATAATAGTACAGCTGTCATTGCGTATAATACATTGAGTAATTATTTCATTACAATTACCACGGCCATTGTCTCAAACAGGAAGACCATTGCACGTATACAATAAAGTATGGTAATAGGTACGTAAAGATGTACCAGAGTCTTGGTAGTAGTCCGAATTTTCACTTTTATTCCAATTCTGTCTACCGGTGCTTGGGCATTTCGCTTCGCTTTCCCCTCTGAACACCCTCCTCGACCATTGCCGTTCGCACGCCAGTCATCCGTGTCGTCAAGATTACAGCAGCTGTGATGCGATTCCTTAGGATAGGAAAGGATATAGTCACCTCGTGTTTAAATTATATACGTTTAGAGATTACTCGGCGGCGTTGTGTTTACGTAACTCAGGCCAAAAACGGTGCACACGTCGTGTGCCTATGACCTGAATAGAATGAATTTTTATTTTTCCACTACAATCCGCATTATCTCGTTTTTTTAAACGTGCCAGCGATCATGTGCAAGGAACACGGGACTTTTCGATTGAAAAATACAAGTGTGATTATTCTTCCACTTTTTTTTACGATACAACAAATTTAAGTACTCTAATCAAATATTAGAATTAAAATTATAGCACTTTTCGAAAACTTTTTATCATAATAATAACAATAATATCGTGTTGGGTGTCCTACAATCGATTTTTAAATTTACAGTTGCATAATACTATGAGTGTCTGTCTTAGAAAGACAAAAAAAGCGCTGATAACCAACTTGATAAATTACACTAACTAGGTATTTTTTTCAAATTATCATCACGATAACAACATTTACCTCATGATACACGATTCAAATAAAATATACCATTTTGATATAAGTTTATCATCGCCAATGTGACGTGAAAATTCTATCACTTCATAATAAACCTCATTAATAGTTACTGTTCAATTTCTATTTCTCTCGTTCTTCTTGAACGTATTAGAAATAATTACTTTCACTGTAAAAGAACACAAATAATTTAAATATTTTTCTTATAAACTATGAGCAATTTCTTCGAGTAGGAACTTAATGTCTTTATTTGAAGTTGTTTTCAAAGAGTATTTTAAAATTTTATACAAAAACGCTCCCTAAGAGTCGGTAATAATGTTTTTTTTGAACATGATTATTTTACAATTACTCATAAAAAGGTGTTTATTTTTTGTCTGAAAACGGTATCGTAACACAAACTTAATGGTATTGTATAATTTTTTGAAAGAAATCTATATACGCATGTTATTTGTACAAATTGTGATGTAAATGAATTAAGTCACAAAATATAATTTTTTTGTGTATCTTTGATAAAAATCAAAAAATAAAAAATATTCATCAAGAATATACTAACTGCCTGATTCTTAAGTGCTCCATTCCTTTTTTCTTTTTAGGTCTCTACAGTATTGAAAAACGTGGAGTACACGTCGACAGCGTTGACACCGTTAAAATAATAGAGTGGAAGGTATACTGTGTTTTATTGAGTGACAAGTTTCTAGGGTCAGAGAGTCTCTTAGAATTTTCTCCCTGGCGAAATAATCCACCGCAGCATTACCTAAAAAACTTTTCCAATATTTCTTTTTAAGACAAGGCCGGATCTCGTCATTGTAAACAAATATATACTTTCACGAAACGCCTACGAGAAGGTTTTATTTTAATGATATTACATAATTTTTTTTTCGTGTTCAAAATTACTTCTACAACGTTAGTATGTTGGTTGCTCTGTAGTTGCTCTCAAATATATTCAGATATAGTAATTCGGCTAGTCGGCTTGCGATAATTTCACTAACGAAACAGCTCGTTATTGTGTAAAACTCGACGTCTCAAATCAAAACGACGGATACTTTTAAGTGTTCTCTATAAGGACATGGAGTGGGTTGCAGTTGTTTGTTGTGTTACACATCGCATATTCAATCACGATCATTGTTGTAGAACAATGAATACATTCGCTCATAGACTTTTCATTACTGTATTTTGTCACCTGGCCTTTAACGAAATTCGTTTTGTAGATTAATCAATTAAATAATTTTAGATGTGTTGACATTCACAATGTGCAAATTTTGCAAGACTTATCAGCATAACATTTTAAAGGCAAATTTAAAATTCATTGAATTTTAAACAGCTCTAAAAACCTTATCAGCACATAAAAAAATTTTAATTTTTTTTTAAATTCTCACCTACGCCATGAATAAATCTTTATGTTAATTTATCTTTTTAATATTTTATTTAATAATTTTTCATTTATTTATTATTTTTTGTTTCACAGACCAAGTCAAATAATGTATGATACGGATTCAGAATGCGGCAACGGCGCCCCGTTGACGCTACACTATGGCAATCATCACGTGTATCTCATGGCTGAGATACAGCAAGCCGGAGACGAACACTCCGACATGGAGCTCATGTGTGAAAAAGGAGTGACTATTAGAGCGCACTCGCTGGTACTAGCGTCAGTCAGTCCTCTTGTGCGGCGATTACTCAAAGAGGATAATATCTGTATGTATCATAACTTAGTACTCCAGTTTCCAGAAATTAAGGAAATACACATGAAGACAGTACTAGATTTTATTTACACTGGTCAAGCGAATGTGCTGGTAAGTTTAAATTTCTTTAAAAATAAAATCTGTCTCAAAATAACTTTATTAATAAAAAAATATATCCCACACGAATAGGAAAATGAATTTGAAGAAGTGGTCAGCTTATTAAATTTGCTTGAGATTCGATCGGATACTTGGCAGAGAGCTATGTATGAATCTTCTTCATCACCACAGGCCATATCTGGCCAACAAACGTCAGCAACATCATCTGAGGAATCTCCTAGAACAGATCCCGAAAATCTATCGCCGACATCACGGTTCAATCAAGTACATCCAAAAAAAAGGCGGAGAAGATCGTCTGTGCCTGTCAATCTATCTATTGACGCCAAAAATGAAGATCCGACTATCACCCAGCCTAATTGGCGAGTATCTAAGGTGAGTGAAGGTCATAAATCAAGAAATTATACTCGACCTCGTACACTTTTCATTAGCAAATCGCAATAAATTGAAAATTGTAGTTATTTTTTTGTAAAAGTTGTGTAGTCATTATTCATTATAGTGTTGTTAACCAGCATTCACTGACCTAACCTAACTCGACTGTTATTATGACCACGCACCGTTTCAAATTATTCAGAAATACCCACCTTTTTTATGTCTTCATATCAGCTTTGTTAATTACTCATTATTAACCATAAAAAATAAACCATTTGGATTGGAAATAAATATTATTCTTTTATTCAAAATAATTAGTAGTTTTGAAAGATTAGTGGTGTTTAAACTCCATGTTGTGTCCAAATTGTAGTATAAACCCAAATAGAGAAGGCTGAGTCAATGTAGTAGCTCATGTATAATTGTTTTTGCTTTGATGCAAAATGTAGAGCACGTCTGTCATGTTACACCACTGGTGTGTTAAATAGTATCCCTTGACGAACCTTGAAAAAAAAGGTTTTACACCGTAATATTTTTTTATAAAGGGTCGTTTTTCCCAGTATACGTTTGATTTTTTTTATACTAAAATCTACTCTGCTAAATTCATTTTACATCATTTTTCACACAGACATTTGTTGATTGTTTCTATGCATGGGTATATGCCGTTCTTTTTTTGCAATAACAAAATTTATTACGTTAACCGACACACATTTCTTTGCGTAGCACATCGTCCGGTTGCCGCAAAACTCAGATCGTTCTACTTTCAAGCGTTTTATTTCGAAAATGAAAGTATTCGTCGGTTTATAAGGTATTGCACATAAAATGTGTACAAACCAATTCATGTTTGTGAGAGAAAAAGTCATAGAATTTTTAACTTTTATAGAGTTTTTTACTTATTCAATTAAAATTTCGTTGTATAAAATATTTAATAATTTATACTAATTATATGTTATAATGATTTGTGTTTTTTATTTAAAGTCTTTAATAATTTTAAAAACATTACACATACTTTATTTTAGTTTTAATAAAATGTTACTAAAATTAATTTTTTAATTTTATTTAAATCGATAGTTGGATGAAGGGCATAGAAAACTAAGGCGACGAAGTAGTTCACCATTTGACGATTATCCGCATGATCGAGGTGGAGGAGATAGTAGAGACTACAGTAGCTTTCAAGATTTTCCAAAGCGAGAACCACACTGGATGGAAACAGAATACCGAAGCGCTCATCTTCAATATAGTTGTGAAGTGAATTTACCGTACATGGACTCTGCGGACCCTAATTTAGATCCAGAAGCTGAGGAAACCAACGATTCAGATAGTAAAGATGCTCGGCTTAACCCTGCTAACTATGTGGTACGTATATTTATTACTTACTTAGTATTTGATACTGCTGTGTGGATTGAAAACAATTGATGAGACCAATACGAATATTTTTATCAACGATTACTTATTTAAGGTGACACCAAGAAAACGAAAGAAGCAGCCTGGATTCCAAAATGCACCTGCACAAAATCCACCATTTGTACCCATGTACTTACACGAAATGGCATTCCGGCATCATAAAATTACGCAGTCATTGAGTACATTTGTGCACCATCCATTCGGATCGGCTCCATCTGTGGATGATGAACGGGAAACACCACCATCCCTCAGGCCTCCTATTTTTATGGGCCGGTCCAGATCTCAGGACGATTCGGGTGTGTATAGACCTTCACTCCCTCTACCACCTCTACCACCACCTCCTCCTCATTCTGGCGATGACAGCCCACCCCATACTCCTCGTCCACCATCTTCCCGACCACCAAGTGCGCCAGCGATTCCTCCTTCGACCCAGTCCTCATCGTATAGGTTTAATGAAAATGGATCGCCCTGGCCTCAGTCAGGTACAGGTGAGTTGACTATGCAAACTTGATTTTGTATAGGGAAAAAAATTTTTATTTATAGACTAAATATTATGGAAGAATTTTTATAGTAATAAACCTAATATAGCCGGCGCAATACATATGCAATCAATTATACTGCTCCAAAAATTTTTTGGTTTTTACTTTGCTATCATATAATCGTCACGTTTTATTCAATCTTATTAGAAACTCTTTCACAGTTTTTTAGTTCAATAAAGTATAAATTTTTCCAGTTTGCATTTCGTGAGTTAACTCTTAATTCTTTTATCAACTCTTCAATTTTTTTGAAAATATTCTCAAGTATTGTTTGTATAATAATATTACTTACTATTTCTTGTCAAAAATAATTATTGAAATCCGAGAAACATAGTTTATATTTTATGTGACAAAGTTCAGCGTAACCAAGAATGTTTTTTTCTTTGCTTTTATGGAAGTAATAGAAGGGTTGATCTTTTAAAAAAAATTACCTAGTTATATTTCAGAGAGCTTAAAACAAAACTCCAAAATGTTTTATTATTTACTATAATATCAAGTCTTAAGGACGTTTCAAAATTTGTTTATAATTCAATTGTTTGAAAAAATTATGTAAATATTAATTTTAATATTTTTGATGAATCATTAGACTTTATAAACGCTTATAAAATCTCTTTGTGTCCTTCAACTGTAAGTCTAATATCTCAACTCGAAGTAAAAGTTATAATTAAAAGAGACCATGTAGTGAATCGTTTTTTTTTTACGTCTGAATTATTAAATATTTTTTTCTATTTTAGATGTAAAGACAGAAAATTCGGAACAACAACAGAATGCCACGGGATCCGATCCAGATGAGAAGTCAGCGGTTTCAGTAGTAGGTGCCGGCCGAGAGTACAAATGTACGTATTGCGGAAAACAATTTGGCATGAGCTGGAACCTTAAAACTCATTTAAGGGTTCATACAGGAGAAAAACCCTTTGCATGTCGGTTGTGCGTCGCCATGTTCAAACAGAAAGCTCATCTACTGAAGCACTTATGTTCAGTCCACAGAAACGTTATATCACCGGGAGCCAGTTCGACCGACCAAGAATCGTCAGGCACATTTAACTGTTGTTTCTGTCAGATGACTTTCGATACCCTCCAACAGTTGGTACGACACTTTTCCGGGCCTCACAATAATCTGTTGCTCACCAAGAACTTGAACGCCTGACAACGGTCTTCTACAACACAAGTGTCGGTGAAACACATTAAGTTGACAATTTTGCAAGAAATAAAATCCATACGAACGTATTTTCACCAGAGCTGTCAAGTACCAATTATCATTATTTTCCTATGAACTTCTCGTTTCAAACATACGACGGGCATCTTAGCATTACTAATTTTATTATAAAAAATTATTATTTACAATTAGATACAATGATATTACATATATTATAAATATTGTTATTGTTATCTTACCAATGTATTTAGTTTGTACAGAAGAACGTTAAATAATATAATGTAGTGTAAATAAAATTATTATCATAAGATTAAGCATAGTAGTTATTGTATGCGACGCTTCCCAAAAGTTGTATTATGCATAGGCGCCGTATATTTTGGAGTTACCACCTACGCATGTATTTAAATAAGTTTTTATTTTATGTTTTATTTAAGATAAATATAATGTATGTTTTTATACATTATAACAAATAGAATTTAGAAGGTATTAAAAAAGATTGTTTCTTATGTATAGTATATGGACGTAGGTTTTTCTATTATAGTTTTTTAAGTTATTAACTCTTATACTTCTTGATTGATAATGTAAATATATAATAATATCTATACATAGGTATAAATAATAGGATATTTTCTTCCATAATTTTTTATATTTTATTCGAACTTGAGAAAATATCCTTAATTATTGTATTATACTTAAAATGTAATGTTCTTATAGGAAAAGAAATATCGATCTCTAGAAGTGAGATAATGTATGTTATGTGTAAAATAAATTATTTTTAAAGTACCGATTTTAGAATTCCACTCGAAAAAAAATACATACATCAATGAAATACCCCATAATAATAATATAAAATTTTTCTTTATTACAAATGATAAAAGTAATGTAGCAATAAAAAAAACTTTTAATCTAATTTAAAAAAACCTCCTGTGTCGATTAGGTGCTAATTTAACTTGTACAAACAATTATTTCATGTAGTCAAGTGACATTGTTTTTATTTTATAAGGAAAAAATTAATGAACACACATTTTAAGATAGACAAACATGATCTCGGATTGTCTGTCTACAAAAGTCGTCGTGTACATATAAAAATGAATATAGTGTTAAATACAGTGTAATGTAATTTTAAATATTATATTTTTTGTTAAGAACTTGAAAAAAATTTAAAATTATTGTACAATAGATATCATTATGAATTATTTTTAAAACCCGACTTGTATATTAATATTATAACACGGAATTGAAACTAGTCATAATTTATTGATAAGATTGTTAACATTTTCCGTGTACAAATTTGTAAATAATATAAGTCTAATGTAATTATTATCTGTATAAATCAAAACAGCCCAACCCTACCCTTGTCAATTATAACTCTTTCGTGGTATAATAGTTATTATAAACAATCGTAATAACGAAATGTTTCAATAAAAAATTTTAATTTTCTATAACATCTTATATTTTTATGAAAAAAATTAAGGTCAGGGAGCAAGTATGATAGTGTATGAAGTGTTTAGTGAACAAGTAAAGACGAATAATATATGAAATTTAAACTCTGTGTCTGATAGAGTTTTTATGAAAAATTAAAAATAATTATGTTAATATTAAGTTTCAATTTATAAAAAAATATCCATTAAAAATAAATAAATAACTTAAGTTAAGAAAAATTCGCTTAATGTAAAGTGCATTAACCATTAACTCACTATTAAGATAATTGTAGATATAAAATTCACATCATAGTAAAAAGTTTATTTTGTGTTATTCACAAATTCTTAAAATCAGGACATCTGTATTAAGCCTTAAATGTTATTTTATTGATATCGTTTGACCTTTTAACATTATTCAAGGATCAAAAAATATTTCAAGTTTTATAAGGCTTGTAAACTTTAAACATTTTACTGTGATTATTTCAATATTTTTTTTCGCTTGTATACGACATGTTGCTTTTGAGTTTTCAATTATAATTAAAGATTCGAAATCATCATATCATCAATTGTATATAATTATATACAATTTGACTTAAAAATTGTCCGAATGGTATACTTACATTTTTAACTGAATTTTAATGTCATAAAATGCAGAAATATAAATATTTAAGTTACTTATATGGCTTTTTAAAAAAAGAATAGTATATAGTGATTAATATCACTATCCATTATTTATCTTATTTTGAACTATTTTAGAGCTTGAAATTATTGTGCAATGTTAACAAACTCAATACTTTAGAAAAGGTAAAACGAAATGGTCTACTAACAATAGCGAAATAACGGTAGAATTTCAAATTTAGAAAACTTCAAATTCGAATGGTTATACGTGCAGCACACTTAAAAGACAACTGTACAAATTCTGTTAGCCTTTCAATTTCAAAGTAAGGCTTTTCTGATAAAATCAAGTGTACATACTTTCAAGTTAACTCTACTGTAAAGGCTGGTCACGTTTTAAGAAATAAGCAAAGTGGAAACAATTGTTTGTTAAACTTGAAATTATAATGGGAAATTATTTATTTTTTTTATAACAAATAAATACCATATAAATTTATTATGTACTCATTAATTGGCAATTAGTGATTAACGAATAGTCAAGTATGAAAGTTTATTCTGACCCTTGAACATTAATAGACAACCGAAATTTAAGTTATCTTGAAATGTCGACAACTGATAAAATTTTGTATAGTAGAGATCTTTTTTAATAAAAATTAGTGATTAAAAGATTTTGAAAGTTTAAAACTGTAAAATTAAGTTATACATTGAAATATGTTGTTCATTAATAGTACATTTTATATGATTTTACTCTTAAAAATTATTAAATAAAATTATTTGAGTCTAAAATATTAGCAAACAATTTATGTATGACCTCGTACAATTGTACAAATTTTATCCTATATTATAGTATATAGGGTATACAGTAAATAAGAAAACGGGTTGCTATTGTTCTTATTGTTTGTAACAATAGACCTGTTTTCTTACTTATTGGACGCTCTGTATAATATAAGGCAATGCTTTTTTTAAAGTTATATGATATATTAGCACTGTTTAATATCTAATGCCTTTTGTATAGCTTTTACACACATAAGTGAACAGAAAAATTTCAAATAGACTGCATTATAATTATACGTAGTGTGCAATGAAGAATACATTTAACACGTGTTCTTGAATGTTTAGTATTCATTAACGCATTTAATGTTTTGTTGTAAACCCATTATACCCAACCCTTATTCTTGAAGAGTGTTTTTGTTTGCTTTCGTACTTTTAAAATACCTTCATTAAAATATTTTACGGAGAGCGTCCTTCATTTCTAAGTAGGTACACGTAATTTTCAATGATAAAAAAAATAATTTCTTCAATATCTTTAAAGTACTACTGACAAACCATTACCATTAAAATAATAAATTTATAAGATAACAACATTAACATACATAAAAAAGCCAAAACAGTCTGGTCGCGGTATAATTGAAACAAGTATAAATGATATCTGGTAATGATTAATATTAATATCATAAAAAGACGTTTTGATGAAAGTCTGTTAATTTTCATAATAATTTGTATAATTGTGATTTCAAAATTTCACCTAAGTATTTAAACTTGTTTAATTATTATTTGTTGAATTGAAAATGAAATTCTTTTTCAAATTACAATTTTTTTTTACTTTGATGGCCAATTTCTCATAATAAAACAATTATGAGATAGATTTTCTTCTATATTATTATAGTACATTTCAAAAACCTTAATTTGATATAGATTTAAAGAATGCAGTTGTTCCAGAACATTATCAAAATTAAGTTTAAAAAAATGCCAAATAAGTGTATGGTCTGTTTAAACCTTCCTTTTACTTAATTTTTTCTATAGATTTTCAAAAAATAACACCAAAAGAAAGCTAATTTTCTCCGGTATATCTGATTAAATTTCTTTACTATCACTACTTTTTTAAATTAAGTCATAAATGTTTTAAAATGCAGAAAAAATATTTTGTAAATGCAATTTTTTACGTGAACACAATTTTGAGATATTTTTCTTACTTTCTAAAATAGTGAGGGTTTTTCCAATGTTTGATGACGATAAGTTTAACTATATTAAAATCAAGTTCTTTTGAAATATTATTCATTAAAATTGGTCCAGTAAGTGCTAAGAATTTTTATAGACAGACATAAAATAACAAACTACCATAAAACCTTTCAGCTTTTTATCGAAGCTAAAATAATAAAGTAAGTAGTAAGAAAATTACAACTCAATGTTTAGTTTTCTATAAATTCATGTGACAATTAAGACGTAATAATTTTTGCATTTTTATTTAATTTCAACTTTTTATTTAAAAATATTTAGACGTTATTTTATCTAGATGCTGTTAAAACTTAACTTAAATACCATAATATGGTTAAGTTTAATTACATATTGTGTAATATATTGTTCGAGCCTGAATTAAAAAAATTTGAGTCCCAAACTTTAATTACAAATATCTATTTAATAATTTTTGGAAGATTTTCTTACTAAAACTTAAAGTAAATTCTTTAAATGATGTTAAGACAATGTTTATGTAAATAAGAAAAGGAGTCTGAAAATGTTATTGATATAATAGAGAATATGCATTAGACATTTGTACTAGTGTAAAAAGTGTGCGTAGAGAAACAAAGGATTTCAGAATAAAAGTAAATGTGTATCAAAGTTTTGTTTTAAGCCCTTATCTATATTCTTTACTGAGGAAATACAAGGAGATTTGCTGTGGTGCAAGTTTCTTGCCTATGATAGTGTTAATAGGAAAAATTAGGAAAAACGAGAACGTATTAAGTGAAATAAAATGAAGGATATCTAAAATCATTTGTGCAAAGTAACGATGATATAAACGAGGATGTGAGAATAGGATTAAGCGCAGGTAGATCAAGTAGAAATGAGCGTCTGGTGTTTTGTACGATAACGGAATTCCAATGAAGCTAAAAGGTAAGTTTAATAAGACTATAGTGAGACCCAACTATATTATTTGAGTCAGAGTATTTTGCAAAAGTAGAATGTAAGAAAGTGGAGTAGAGAATGAGTGTAGCAGAGATGAAAATTAGATGGACGAGTAGAGTGACAAAAAGGGATAGAATAAGGAATTAATATACGAAAGAAAAAATAGGAATAACATCGATTGTAAATAAAATGAGAAAAAATAAACTTAGTTGGTTTGGTCATATTATAAGAAAAAAAACGGAAGATATAATGGTTATGGAAATACCGCTGAAGAAGAGGAAACCAAAAATGAGGTGGTTGGATGTAATTGGGGACGATATGAAGACTGCTGTTGTATGTTAAGATGTATTGGGATGATTCGTGTCATGTAAAGGTTTGTATGTATAGATAGTCTAAGTAGTTGGGATAAAAGCAAGCAAAAAGAAGAATAATCATAGCGGTAATTTACATGAAATTCGCTCCAAGATTTATATACAATATAATTTATAAAAAACACTATTTCACATTTTTTCATACAAATTTATAGTTGAAAATTTTATTTTATTTTATTTGTCTTATAGAGAAGTCAACTTTTTTTTTTATGCCAATTCACATATTTAATTAACTTATAATAATATTATAAAATAATGTATTTAAGTGAACAAATTAACTAGTCGATAACAATTTTTGGACCAGTTCTTCAAAAGTTATTAACAATTTAAAGTATTGACTATAAGAGAGGCATAAGGGATGATATTTTTATTAGTAGACATTTCTCAGCCTAACTCCTCCTCCGCCTAAGTATAAAAATACTTCTGAATTATAGGTCCAAAAGTTGATATACCCAGTTATTTACTTTATTGCGACATTTTCTATTTTATAAGCTAGTTAAAGATACATGTTGTCATTACAAACAAAATAAAATTGACACCCCTATAAAACATAAGAGATAAACATAAAAAATATTTTTAAACAGATATATGGAGGTACAAATGTAACTAACAAAAACCAAAAAGGACTTTCACAAAAAAATGGTTATTTCAAAGGGAAAATGGCTTGTGTTAAAATAATCACCCTGTTTATGTATACTTATTAGAAGATAATCAATAAAGATATTCAATTATACGAGTTTTTATTTTGGTTTTACTTAAATAGGTATTCAAATACCTTCCATAACATTTTCATATAAATAAACAAATAAATAAATAAATAAATAATTCTTTATCGTAAAATATAAATTAAAAATTAAAGTTTTCATTGTTTGTCTTTCTTGTCATCGTTAACTTCATTGTTTTCGTTACCACCAATTTGGCAGCTGTTTTGGTCAGTCTTGACGAAGTAGTTTTTGTTCAACTTGTATTTGTCTAATACTCCGTAAGCCTTTTGCAAGACGGTTCCAGGTGCTAACTTTTCACGGGTCATGATCCATGCATGTTCTTAAAACAAGTAAAAGTATAAGAGATATAAATCTTTCTATTTAAATGTTATAAAAATACTTACGGGTGTTGGCAAGTCCCAATGATGAGCATGACCATACAACAGAGTAGTTGTCGTAGTCAGTGTCTAAGATCATTTGTTCGGTACTATAAGGAACTGAAAATAAATTAGATAAATGTCACGATTATAGTTATTAATGGACTTTTGTAGTTCAAAAATAGTGATCATAACGATAAAATGAAATGAAAATATAACATTTGAAAGGTGCAAAACTTACTAGGTAGGGTTGAGTATCTGATACTTAATTTGGATTCGGCTCCTTTAACGATCAGTCTGATTTCACCGTCCAATACGCGTTTTACTCCGGTACTAAACAAATATATTAAACAAAACAAAAATCAATAAAGAGTTAAAATACACTGAACATTTAGAACATTGACAATATTTAAATCTTACAATCTATTCATGATTTCATTGGAGACCGTGAAACGGCCGTCAGCGGCTTTGGTGTAGTTTGATTTGACACAACGGGTACCGGCTTCAAAGATACTCACGTAACGTTCAGCTTCGTACCAGGTTCCCAAATACTGAAAACATAACATTATTTTTGATAAATTAACTAAAAGAATATTGATGAAACTATAATGTAAACATTTTTAAATTATCCTAATCTATAAAAAAAAATATTGTTATTACCACTAACTGTATGTAATATATTTATTTTCTAATAAAATTTAACGATCTCATTGACAATTTGAACGAGTCTCTAGTGTGTAATGATGCAATTAACTCATTGTATACACACCCAATGAGTTCACTATACTGTATGACTATAATTCTTATACCAAACTAAAATTAAGAACCCCTAAAAAACGTTCATTACAAATGAGGGACAAAGTGGATTTTATTTTTTATCGGATGTCAAAAAAATCATTTTAAATCTAAGTTGAGTTTTGATTGATTTAGGAAACTTTAAATAAAGAAGATTTTTTAATCAGTATTATTTAAATAACTTGCATGAATAGATAAAAGACGAAGATATATTTTGTATCGCCAATTTAATTTGAAATACTCGACAAAGTAAATATTTACTTCAAGTTATAATCAATTCAATTTAAATTTATATAAGATATATGTATGCCGACAATTGATAATCCAATGTCAACAAATAATAAAATAAAATATTAGTACTGTACTTTATTTTTAAACATCGTGTAACTAAGAATTTACAATAAAAATTCTTGTCATATTCACTTAAGCATCCTAAGTGAAATTTTAAAATGTATAAATATTTGGATAAGACTGAATATTTATGCTTTACTTCTTGCGAGTAGTTAAAGATAAGAAAACAAAAATGAGAACTCTTACCCTATTCATGTCAAAGTCTGGTTGAGAGTCAAATTCTGGACATCCTCCGAATCCTGGAACTTGACAGGCTACCATCGCAAATGATGTGCACGCCAAAAACAAAATCAATTTTTGGTTAAAAACCATAATTGTATATTACGATGTAGACTCGATATGAAACTAACTGCAAAAGAGGTAGATCCGGTACGACGTATAAGACAAGTGTGGCGTCCGATTTGCGATCCTAAGACTTTTTATACACCGAAGGCGGGGAGGACGACAACACACCGCTCTCCATCCAAATTAGAATATCCGTAATAACCGTGTTTTTTATTACTATTAGGCGATAATTCTGTCATTTCTTCCATTTCGCTACATCCTTGCGCTTTCCAGTTCCGATCGACGTCGCACAGCGTAGGCGCCTGGGCGAGAGGAAAAGGGGTGGTGGTTATTGTTGGCTCGGACAAAGACCAAGAAAGTCCGCGGTCGATGACGACGTGGGGGCGGTCGACGAACTCCATTGGCCTGTGCTCACGGGGACCGGTTCCAATACATATACGTATTTATTTATGTACGTTTATCATACAATCATAATAATACTATACATCTGTATGCATATGAGACCCCTGACCACGTGTCGCCGTGACCCCATAACGGATTCCGGGTAACGGGACCGCATAGATTTATTAAATCGTTTATTTGCTTAAACTTATAGGAAACTACCCAAGCGTATGAGTCGCTATTTGATTGTGTCTTTATCCCTTGATTACGTTGACGAGAGAAAATAAAGTGATCCCTAGCTGTGTTTATACGGTAGTTGTTTACTTATTCACAAAGAGAGGATAAAAAGAGTAAACCAATAAAGGAAAGATTAGTTTATATTTTGCAATTCAAAGTAAAATAAATTAGTCAGTACGCAAATAACTTCATCAAGATATAGAAAATATCGATTAACGTATTTTTTTTATATGATTAAGAAAAAGAAGAACCTACAAATTATGGAATATTGAGTTATAAATTTGTAGGTCAAACGGCCGTGGTACCGAAATCGCGAATTTATAATTCCTGTTTTACTTAAGAGGTCATGTCTCAGATCGCACGATTCCAGTTGCAGAAGTAAAATTGGCATTATCCATTGATATTTTTAATAGTATGATACCGTTTAGTGTTACATTATTCACCAATGGTACGTCATCGAGCCGGGTAAGCTCTACGAATAAAGAAATTATTCAGTAAAAGTTAGCACTTGTAATGGATATATTGTTTTTTCATTGACTGGAATCTAAAGTACTTTTCTTATACAAATCAAGAAATTTTGGGAAATACATAAACATTAAACGAGTTCCTTGTGTATTTTATCTATACTCCTTTCATCGGTTCTCAGAACGTGGTTACAACTTTTTTTTCAAACGAGGCACGTCACAGTGTATTTTGCTGCCAAATGACTTGTCTTTATTCATATCGTTTCTCACTTTCTAATGATATTTATAGTATTATCAAATAAAAATCATACTGCAAAACTCATACAATTGCTGTTTTAAATAATTAATATTGACATACATGTACAACGCAGGTATTATACCCGACAAAATTTTTTATTATTTTCTAGAAAACCAATTATTAAAGTATCTTTTATTAAAATTATGCTAAATACATCCATTAATTTGTACTTTCTAGGCTATTTTCGTTTGTTAACATCGTTTATTAAAACTTAACTTAATGGAATTGGTGTATTTATAGAACTATTTTCAATACAATACTATGTTAATTGATAAAAAATTTCATAATGAATGAACAATTCGATTTCTTTTGCATACCTTGCGAATTTTTTTAGTGATTTTTCACGATCAAGTTATGAATAAGTTACACTAATTTTATAATGCTTTCTTGTTCTATTTTATCAGAATATTATTCAGCATTCATCATTTATGAGTTACAATTTATATATTAGTAACATAAAACACATATTTTTGTATCAAAATTTTGATAATAGTAAAAAATATAAAATTGTTCTTAATAATTGTCTTTTATCCTCATAAATTTATAAAAACACAACCCATGTTTGAAATCATAGTTATGTCAGTGAATTTAATAATGGTAAAAATAGATTTTATGATATAATTAAATAGATACTGTCGAATAACTAATATGTTTGATGTGTAATGCGAGTCTTAGAAAGACGAACAATAGAAACAAGTATCAAGAAGAAAGTTTATTTCCCACAAAAACAACTTAACAGTTTTAATAGTCTATAATAAACGTGATCATGATATTTTAGAAATATGATAAAACAACAGAAAGATATAGATTTACGATTACTACATTTATTGGGTTAAAGATCCTACGATTCTAACGTTTATAACCGTAAACAAATTTAGTGTTTTACATCTTCACCAAATGAAATTACTACAGAGTGGTTACAGTGTCGAACATATCCAACTGATAACATTTAAACCTTTTGATACAATTAAAATTTCGCTATAATTTTTTTGAAACGAATTTTTACATTCTTAGATTACGTTAAAATCATATTTTGTATTATTTAACTAAATGAAAACAGAGTTATAATTTTATCTTTAAATATTTATAATCGAAAGTTATAAGAGTTGTCAGTTAAATCTGTTTTACTCTGTATACTTCAATTATAAATAAACGTTGACATTACATTTAGGCTATCTAAATAAAGTACTTTAGAGTAATGCATTTACTTGAATCGTTGGCATACTATAGCTTTTTTCAATAAGTTGAAACAACAATTTTTCTTTGAAGAAAAAATTAAAAAAATACAAAAGAATAATTAGGTTGATTAGAATAATTTTTAAATTTCCTCAAAATGACTCAAAGTGCTTATTTTAATGCATAATAATATCTATAAAATAGGTACAATTATAACAAGCTATAACTCGAATTTAACAAATATTTTATAATTTATTTTAATTAAAAGTTATTTTATTACTAATTAAGAGAAAATGACATAATTGTGTTACAAATTCCGTTGACAACTGTCATTAATTTTAATTTGTCACTTTAATGAGTGTATAATTTAATGTTTAATATGATAAATCAAAGCGACATATTCATTAAGTTATTTTTTTATTAATTAAAATAATAAACATAAGATGGTTAATTAATTGTTTTGGTATATCATGTGTATAATGTAGATTGTGTTTTATGTATTATATTAGAACTTTTTTTTATAAGTTTTGATTACTTTAATCATTCTAATTCACATAAATACTTAGGGCCAATAGTTTCACACTATTTAATTTATTAAATAAAATTTCATTAGTTACCGACCTCATCTCTTTTAAAATGTTTATAAATTATATTATTATGATGAAAAATAAATTAAAAGAAAATGAACTTTAAAAGATAAATGTTTTTGTTTTCATTAATACTACCAGTTGGATATTTTAAAAAGTATTTTTTTGTATGTTTGTTATTTTCGAGTAATTGTATATAAGCATAACATATAGTTTATAATCGTTTTTTTTATTAATATTAAAAATATAAATGATTTTATAACCATATAAATTAAATATAAAACTTTTAATAGCATAAACAAACGTAATGTATTTTAATACTTGGACGAATAATGTATTTATAAATTTTATCAACTATCTTATTAATTTTAACTCTCAGAAGCTATATAATTTTTTAGTGCCTTAATTGTAAATAAATGTTCATGCCATAAATGCTTCAAGTATTATCAACTTTCTGAATATTTTTTTAAGGACATTTATATTGGATAACATTAATAAGTGCAAAATAAATTATCAACTTGTTGGCTCTAACTATTAATGTGGATGAATAAATAACAAGTGTTTAGTATTGTGTGTAGCTACTGTTCATTGTACGAATGTCATTAATCATATTTACGTTCAAATTTATAAATGTCACATTATAATTTGTACTATGAACATAATTTAAATGTTTATTTTTTTAATAGTTTTATATACGTGTTTAAAGAACAACCTCCTTCATTGATTTTGGGTTACTTCCAGTTTGTTACGTTTTAATAACGTTTTATTACATGTATGCTCTATTCAATGGCACACTTTATAGTATACGCGTATAAAAATTAACTAATATTTCCACTTTAAATTTTTCTCATGAAAATATTATCATTATTATTATTTTATCTTTAACTTTTTATTTGAAAAGCTATGCTATTGGGAAAACTTAAATGGCCTAGTACAACGCCATCATACCCCCGTTCTACATAACGAGACACAACGCTTTCCCGACTGATCTTAGTAGGCCGCCTAAACGTAAAAGAAAAATTAATACTGATAAATTCAAAATAAAATTGTCTGGTTTAAAACGCTCAAGGTAATTATAATTTTTCAAAAAAAAAAAAATTCAAATATGTTGTATTTTTAATTATAACATCTATTGATTTCTGTAATTTGTATACAATATTTCGTGTAATTTAAAATTTTGACGGCATGGCATATCACCAGATAGTATACAAAAATTTAACCAGCCAACACTCAAATGTACCTTAATTTTTTATTGTTATAATAAAAGTTTGTATTCATTCCAAAATCACTAATGTGTTGAACTTTCATCAGGAGTATATAAATTACGCACAAAATCACGTGACACGAGTGAGTATTGCCGATTTAATATAAATCAAATTTATCCAGTTTTAGCATATACATAAACACATGAATATGCGAAATAATAATTTAATAACGAAAGGATTAGTACTCATTACTAGCTGTCTGTCGGTTTTAATCCATCACTGAGCACTACTCAATATCCTTTCATCAAAAAACCTTTCCAAAACGTTAAAAATATATTTATTTTTATATCATAAATATTCAGTAAATATTTTGACTCGATTCGCCAAATTTGAAATTAAAATTTAGTTACTAAAAAAAGCTCACCATTCACTAACACAATCAATCAAGTTAATGTATGTTCAGGAATGTACCCCAAAATACTAGTACTCTAGGCAGACTCATAAAACGAACCTTTCAATCATACAGTCTTCTCCCAAGTAGGTTATTTTTGTTTTTTTCAAAATGGTGTCTCAATTTCAACAACAAATATTACTATGGTATAATGCAAGTGAAACCACATTTCACCAAAAGAGCAAAATATATAAGCACTTATTCAAGCTCAAATTCTAAATTGTTAATCCTAAAATATATTTTTCTTAAGTCCTAAGCTAATGTATATTAACGACAATGATAGAAACAAACAAAAGTCGAAATTATTTGAATAAATCTATAATAGGATTTAATTATCTATTTCAATGCTAGTACTTCGAGGTAGTTATAAATACACATTAATTAATATTACACAAATAAAGACGGAATGTTATAAAATAAAAACTAATAATAACCTCTAATTAAATTAACCGGAACTATTGGAGTAAGCAATACGAGAATATTAGATAGTTATTCTAACATTTATAAGTACTAGTGTTTTCAGAGTAAGAATATTGTGCCTCAGTATAAATGCATTGTATAAACTTTATATAAATGTACAAAACAAATATAAGCACGAAAATTTATATCATATTGTATACATCTAAATCTCAAATTTCACCTTAGTTACCTATTTTAACATTAAAACAAGAAGGATAACTGAAAAAAAATGAAATTAATGGATAAACAATTACCAATCTTTATCAAGATAATTATCATTAATTTCAAAAAAGATAGAAATTAAAAAATTGGAATACGTTAGCTTGATGATAGCAAACAAATAATATATCGCAACGCAACGATAAATTAACCACAACAGTTTTAGTATTAAATTCTTAATATGATTTAAAAACTCTCCATAAATAAAATAACAATAGTTGTCAAAGAACATCACAAAGCTACCTAAGAGTAAATAAGTTATATAATTAATTATTCTATTTTATGTAATGACTTTATTTTATAGTATTATTATTTGCTTTTTATAATATTTATTAGTTGTATTAAAGTGAATATTAATTGTATTGTTCATTACTATATAGAAACAATAGAATTATAACAAGTATGAGTATAAGTGAATAAATATACATGTATGACAATAGTTACACCAAAAATCATACAATATAACTGTAAAAAGAAGTTAGCAGCAAACGACAGGTGGTATCCGAATGTTATTGAATTTTATACAGTAGTACTTCACATTTCTCTTTCATTTCATTGCTTGAAATTGAAATTGTTGTCTATTTCAGATAGTAAAAACAATATATTACTTAACTTGTTCTGCGTTATTATTATTTAACTCGAATCCATCCATTATCTTAAATATAGTTTAATTATTATAATAATAATTTTTTGCTAAGTTATAATAAAATTTGAAATAATTATTTCGTTTATTTGACATCACCAATTGTTCAGAAGCACAATTTATATTTATCATGGAAGTGGGGAGATCCAAATTTCTTATTTCTCCATAATTATGCTAATTCAAGTATAATCTGGAAATAATTATTTCTTAAAAACTTAATCATATTAGACTAAAATTAAATTAAAAAAAAAAAATGAAAAATCTAAGCTTTTAATTAATTTTGCACTTAACAAATCAATTTGAAAAAATAAATGTTAATTGTAACTATAAATTTATCAATTGGATTTTTCTGTGTAAAATAGATATACAATAGATACGTAAGTTACTAATAACAATACACTTTTAAGATTAACGACAGGCAATATTAAAAATTAAATGTCAAACCAGTGTGATATTTTTATTTACGACTTTCTTTCAAATGTGAGGTGTAAAATCCCAGTAGCACTGAAAGTTATTAATGAATCTTAAAATATATTATGTATGCATATCGTATGAGGTTTGTTTATTGCTCAGCAGGTTTTTTTATTTCTCTACAATTATAATATATACATATATTGTAATTATAAAATTAAGTGGGTCAATTTTCTAGGTTTTGCTATTTTTTTAAACACATGGTTTTCCCTAAAATAGTTTTATTATTCCTTCTTACGATTCCTAGTTGAAATCTTTGTTACAAGTCTGCGATTCAAATACTTATGTTGAGAACAGACATTGTAATTGAACACTTAACTTTGAAAAATGCATATATAAGTTCAAAATAAAAAATTGCTTAATATATTTGGGAGGATGGACATTGCAAGACTATTAAAGTAAAATACGGACATTATACTTAATTTACTTTTATTCTTCACAAACTTCGTAATTCTAAATGAACTTGACTTAACTTGAGATAAACGGTCGTGAAAGGTCATTTACCTCAGATTTAAATTTTAAGTTCACATTAGGTCTATTATTTTTATTGTTGTCATTTTATATTTAATACATATTTTAACATAATATAAATGATCATGGGTTTGTATAGATAAAATCACAAATGCAGACAGAATGCCTTAGGTAATTTTGCTCTGAATGTGCCGTGACTGTTGCCAATGAAAATAAATCAAGAAATTAATAATAAAAAGTCGTGATGGATAGATTTTATGTGTAAATATACTCTTTTATTTTGTAGTGTAACTGAAAAATATAGTATGAAATCTTTTTCATATTATTTTTAACTGAAGCCGGATTCTCGTTTTGTATGAAGTATTATTTTTAATACACAAAATATTGTGCTATTAAATTTGAATGAATTTTATTTATTGCACATAATGAAAAATTGTATATAATTTTACTATTATTGCTGTATAAAAACATGATAAACATATTTTTCGTAGCAAATTGAGAAAAATAAAAATTACATATAAAATTCTACTACCTCCATTTAACGACACTGAGATCTATTTTAACTAAAACAATATTAACAAATGAATATTTTAATCTCCTTTAATTTTGCATTGAAATATTAATCGAATTCAATGGTCTGTGTTATTAATTTCAATATCAATAAATCTTTTAAAATGAAATTATGAATTGATATATTATAAATTTTAAAATTGATGATTAGAGATGAAATTTTTTTTTAATCAAATTAACTAAAAAAAGAATATTATAAAAAATCTTTTACTCAAAATTTCTAAAAAAAAACTAATTAATAAATGATAATAATAATGTCACATAATAAAAACATAATTGAATATTTAGAGTACAAAATATCAGAATCTATAAAAAATAAATAATAAAAATGAAAAAAAAATGAACTATTTAAATGTACTAAAATACAGTAGTATTTAGTATTTAAATAGTAGTCCTGATTTGCTGCCCGTTCCCAAATTATTCACTATCATTCAGTTTTCAAATTTAAATATCATTAAACCAATAAAAATTAATATTATATATGAACACGATAAATAAAAAAAATATTTTTGTTGTTCTCAATTCGAAATAATTAAAAATTAATTTGAAATTATGTATATGTATTTTAATTAAAACTCAGACTATAATAATTTTGTCCTTCTTTTTATCTTGCTCATTGTATATATATATATATATGTATATATAAGTAATGTCAATTTTTATAGTATTAGAACTATCATAAGGAATTTTGAAGGAAGAATACGTAGAGAAAGACTAAAAAAGAGATTGAGGGATGTTATTGAATGCGATATAAGTACAGCTGATGTGGGAGATCGCGTCAGGTCAAAATTTACGATAAGGATGGCCGACCTTAATTCCAAGTAATTGGAATTATTACGAGGAAAAAAAAGAAGAAGAATAACTATCATAAGGAAGTTGCGACTAAAAAATTTAAATATTCATAAAAAAAAACTACAAACGTAAAAGTTATAAGACTAAATTAGATTTCGTTTTGGAGTACACGATGTTCTTTGTTTAAAGATAAGTCAATACTTTCAAATGTGATTTATGTGAAAAGTTTACTACATGCTTTTGTACTACTTAATATCTTTAGAATGAGCTGTTTGTTTGACAAACTCCAAATAAAAGTCCACCATAAAAAGAGTAATTTTCCTATTTACTTCTACGTCACAATGAAAATATGTTGCTTGAACATTTTTTATTAATATGAATATTTCAAATGTACAAAAAATCTAGACATTGCAGCAGAGATCGGTAAATCAATAAACTGTAATCATATCTACGTCTCTTTAATTCTAGTTCAATTTTCTCAGTTATAATTTATTTAATTATTTAAAAAAAAAATTATGTATGCTGTAAGTACAAATAATAATATTCTTAAGTTAGTATTTTTAACTGTGTTGACTTAAAAATATTTTTATTTTAGTAATATGTGTTATAAATAGAGTGAGTGGTAATAAAAATTCTTATTACTAATACTTGAACTGTCTATTCCTATGTATGGCTGTTTTGAATATGAATTATTTTAATTTATGACTACATTTTTAATCATTTGTAGTTACATAAAACTTATATGTTTTTAAATGAAAAATACATTTCTTTGGTTAAAGACTTACAAAAATTAAATTAAAACATGTCATGATTTTGGAGTAATTAAATATTCTTTGCATAATAATTAAAACAAGAATTAACATAAATTAACATATAGTTGTATTAAATAATTAAAAATAATTTTCAGAATTCGTCAAGTGAACAAAAGTAAAACATGACAAGCCTTGAATTCCAGAGGACAACCCGTTAATTTTCATTAAATTTTATAGTTCACACATTAAAAAGTAAAACTGTTGAAATCCTTAAAGAGAACGTGATTGTTTTTCTTTTTTATACTTCAACAAGAACAAATGTGTTTTGTTAAAACACAAAACGAGATTTCTAGTGACTCGTCTGGATAACGTTAATGACAAACCGATCATCGTAAAATTAAAGTTCAACCCATGAGATCTTATATAGTAGTTGGCTTTCTACGTGTTCACATTCAACCGGTTTCATAACATTATAAAAATAACAACAGTAACTACTTGACTAAATTATTTTTCTTAATTATAATTAGCTGGCTTCACAGAAAAAATAGAAATCATTTCTATGGCTCATAAATCGACATTATTAATTTTAGCATTAGAATTTGAAAAACCGCATCGATCCCGTAATCGAGTGCTCACGAACATTTTTTTTATTATGTTATTATTGTTTTGTAATTAAAATGATATTTAGTTGACAGAAAAAACAATAACTACGGTCTTTTTATTTTTACAGACGCCATTTAAGAAAGTTATGGGTTACAATTGACCTGGAGTCAGTGATTTTAATCGTGTAAAATTCAAATAAATAACAACATAACATGTGCGCCTCGAGCGCAAAAAAATTAAAGAAATCAAGAGCGCGCCATCTCTTTGTAAAAATCGCGCCAATATATTCATTAAGTCTAAGAGGGAGAATACTTGAAAAAGGGAGATATAAAAGAGAAGGCATCGCCGAAAGACAAGACGAGCGTCAACAGTTAATAATCGACTACCGTCGAAGAGTTTCTCATAAGTATAGTACTTCTTACGGTTTTATGAACACAACTCAATAGTAGTATGTTCCTTATTTACCGTATATAGTAAATTTAATACTTAAGGTTATCTATGTTCATTTTTTGTTTTTAGCTGACCTGTCATATAAATTAAATGGAAACAACTAAAATCGTCGAAAATAATATGTTTTTTCCAGTTTCAATAACACTGTAAAATATTATGATCCAGAGCTTTTACCGAGAGACAATAAATTATTCCAAATGATAAAACACAAGTTGATCAATTAATATTGAATTAAAATTCAATTAAAAATTGAAATTAAAATTCAACTAATTCATTAAAATTAATGAATTAGTTGCTAGTAACTTACATAAATAATATACTATAACATTAATTTAAGTTAGTAATACATAGAAAAGTATATTATTGAATAAATAAAATCAGTTTTCTATTTACACTCATGATTATTATCACTCATAAATAATGATACAATCAAATGCGAATAAAAAAAATTACAAATTAGGCTGAACTTTTAACTATATATTTTTTTTTATTTTGATAAATGTTAGTCATAGACAAGTTTAAAAGCCTGAAATAACAGGTTATATTTATTGCAGTAATCCTAAACTTTGCACAACTATTTCATAACATGATTAAAACAAACTAAATGTGATGGAACAAATCTGCAGCCAAACTTAGATTAACAGCAAAATTTCATATGGGATTTACCTAAAATTGTAAAGCACGAAATTTATTTTACATGGGTTATTAACAAGTTTTCAAAAATCTATTTAACTACAGAAAAATTCAAAAAGAATTTAAAAAACTTTTTAAATATACAATCATTAAAAGAAATTTACAGTTTTCCACAAGTTTATTATGATTTTATCATAATAATTTTTTCGTTAACTTGTAAAATTAATAAAAAAAATTGTAAAGAACTTATAGTAAATAATGTAAAATTACCAAAAAGTTGTGAATAATTTTTCTATTGTTTATATTTTCTATAGTTTATTTCACAAATATTCTACAGTTTTCATAGTTATACTTCGACCGCCAGAGCAAACGCGTGTTTTTCAAAATGATACTACGCCAAAAGTAATTGCAGTAAAAAATATTAAAATCAACAATTGCAGAAACATATGCAGTTTTTTTAACATAACAAAATTTAAGTTCTGAAAATATTGTCAGTCATATGGCACCCTAAAGCCGCAATGCAGGAATCCAGGCGATCGCAAAATAATCTCGTCAAATCGGTAACATCTGTCTCGAAACTTCTCTCACCACTCATTTTATCTCGTTCTTCAATTCATCAAGAGTTCATGGCTTGTATTGATAAACTTTTGATTTTAAGTAACTCCACAAAAAAAATCACATTTTGTTTGGTCAGGGGAGCGAAGGGGTCACGGAATATCCGTTCTCGAAGAACTATCGGACTGCGAACATGTGTTGTTGCACACTCCAAACCATGTTTACAACTAAAACTGCACCTTATCAGCTTTTTGACTTGCTCACTTACAGTATTAATAGTTTTAAAAATATGCGTTTACTCTGACGGATCCTGTACAGCTTGTGAAATACTTGCCGTAAAATTATAAATAAATTGTGTAAAAGTTCTAATGTTTTTTTTATAGTTTACTGAAGACATACTTGTAATTTATAGTTATACACTATATCATAGTGTATAATACATATAAATTGTTTTACTGTTGAAGATTCTATAGATAAATGCTATTTTTAATATAAAATATTTTCAAATTACCGTATATGTGAATTTTGATTTCCTTATAGTTGTATAATAAATATCGGTCTTCTGAAGCCATTAAAATTCTATTTTGATTCTAGTATAATTCCCACCTTTCACGATTTATTTACCTGTCCCTTAACTACTAACAATCATAACGTAACATGTAATTAGAGATTACCTATAATACATCATTAATTACAATTTAAATATGTTGAACCTTTAATTTTACAAAAACATGATGTTTATTATTTTTAAACGTTACAATTATATTATGTTCGTTTTTGAGGGTAAAAAATAAAATTCATAAGACTATTTTTTTTAATATAATTAATTTCCTATATTTTATTCCGGATTCCTATCCGGGATTAATTTATAATTTTTTACATTTTATAGATATTATTGTAAATCTCAATAAAATTGTTGAACACAAAGTTTTTTTTAATATTTGTGCAATTATATCACTGTACTAATATTTTTTATCTGATATTTTATAAATAATATTTATTTAGAAGTATCTAGTTACTGTATAATGATGCCATTTTTAAAAAACACCAGTATATAGTATTATTTATTTTTTATTTAAGCCAATATATTTAGAATATTGGCAATAAAATTATCTAAAAAATGAAAATCAATAATACTATTAGTGTTATCTAGTGATTCAAACATTTTCCTTTTTATTGAAAAAAATAAGTTGTAAACAGAAACATGGAATTATTAAAATTTTTTTTCTTAAAAATTAATGTCACAATGAGAGTAAACTTAAGACCTTTATTGACTTAAGTGTAAATAATAGTTATATAATATAGCATATTACTAATATGCTAATGGCATTTGTATGTGTCTTAATAGCTCCAAAAATTACAAAACGTACCTTCCTCAAAACAAACGCAGAGAACTTGGTACTTTAACAAAACTAAAATCAACAAGACACCAAGAAAGTCTTGTTGTACCGCTCTAAATTATGACTGAAAAAAAATACAGGTCATTAATATAACTTTTGGTTAATCCAACTTCAAATAATTATAATTTAATTAGTTACTACTAAATTTTCAATGTGCCCATAAGGTCGCTTTGATAAATTTTTATCGGTTTTCGAGACAGTAATAATATAAAATCTGAGCAAATCATAATTTCTCAATTTAGCTCCATCAAAACGAACACTGTGCGGTTGAATTCTATAGTATTTCCAACCTATAATAGCGATAATGAAACAATGTCCTCGAAGAAGTATATTCGTTCCCAAGAACTGAAGGTTATTGCTTCGATTCGATTGATTTTTTCTTAATCTGCCTCCATTATAATTTAATTAGATTAATTTGGTCACAGACAGTTTTTCAACCAATACGTGTTCGATGGTACAAGAACTAGTATGACGGAAATGATCGCCACGAATGCCACAAAAATTCCGATGAAGAACATAAAATTTTTTTTTTATTAAGATCTCCCATTAAAAATTTTATTTCTACATCCTCTTGACCGATCACAAAAACACATAAAACTATAGCGCACGTAATACAGACAATGGCTCCAAATGTTTACTGATTACATACATTCCACGTGCAAGGTAAATTTTGTATTTATCTATAATGT